GTTGCCAGGGACAACTCAGGCTTGAGTCTGGCAAGAAGGAAAGATGCAACCTGTTTCTTGAGGTGGACGATGTCGATGATGACTGACAGCACCATCCTAGCATGTCATCAGAGGGCAGTCGGAAGCAAGACGCTGGAAAGGAGAGTCTCCACAGTCATCTTGAATGTGTATCAGAGCACTGGGATAGAGAAGGAGGATGGTTCTAGGCAATCTCTGGAGAGCCATAGGAAGTTGGATGAGATACGGAGGTTCTACAACAAGAAATTCGAAGAGGAACACGACGTTCACCGCAACCTGGCTTCGTCAGGGGAGTACTTGAAACTCAACAAAAAGGGAGAGTACCAATATGTTTCTGGAGTAATGGGAATGGCGTACAACCCCTTCTTGGACCTGGAAGCTGGAGGTGCCCACAGAAACTATGAAGTGGCGGAGCTGCTGAAGTTCTGGACAGAGAAGATAGTGGAGATAGACACTGTGGAGAGAGAGAGACCTAGCCTGGGTCTGGTTCTTGAGGGGACGCCGGAAGTGATAAGTGTGTCACGCTCAAGTAAAAGAGTGGAGCTAAAAATGGGTGACGGAGTGGCGTGTTGATCACGAATCTGGGAGTGGTATGGAAATTACTCAGACCCTCCTGGTGTCCACATCCCCATGCAAGTCTGATTGAGGAGGTCACTGAGCGAGTGAGATTGGCACCGACAGAGGATGGGGACTTGGCGACCTTGAGTATAGTACACAAACTGATCCTGCCTCAGATGAAAGAATCAAGTGAGGTGACAAGTGGAACAGGGTCGGTGAAGAGGATGGAGCCGGGCAGTTGTCTTGATTCGACATGCAGCAACGGCGAGCATACTTGTGATGGACGATCATGCGTCAGGATACAGTCTTTCCAGAAGGAGGACCTCATTACCTGGTTTGAGGATATCATCGAAAGGGAGAAGAGTGAGATACAGATAGTGGCTGAATGTTACGCGAGTACCACCGTGAACCTAGCGACAGCCTTGGGATTCTTCTCAAGAATGTGTAGTCTCCAGTCACTGGAGAGGCTAGAGTCAGAACACCACCTGGTGACCGCGTTAAGCGTGGAATCGTGACCCGGAGTGCTACAAGTGAACCAGAAGCACATCAAGAGTTGGAAGATCGGACTCGAGGCGGAGATGGGATTTCCCATGAGCGAAGCCTATGGATTGCCTCTAAATGCAAAATCCTTAGTGGGGTCAGTGCTGGCTAATCTATGTGGGAGCCACTATCCACTACACATGGCGATGGTGGAGGTGTCCAGCCAGAGGGTAGTGATAGACAACGCCTTCTCAGTGCCCAAGTGCGTGAGATTAGCTCGGATGTCACACCATTCACACAAGCTGCTGAGGAAGATCCGAGGAGCAGTACCAAAGGAACAAAGAGATGACTTGAGTGAAATCTGGGGTGAAGAACTCCTAGGCTTGGAGAGCGAAAACACAAGTGATCACGGGAGACAGAACGTGGTGGGGAAGCCCGCAGTAGGTGCTCCAAGCTCGGAAGAAGTCGACGTGATACACGAGAAAATGATGGAACTTGAGCCTCTCCTAGAAGCTTCGGGAGAACGCAACCTTAGAAGCATCGACCTCACGCATGGGGATTGTCCATGCCACTGTCTGGTGCAGACAGTGTGGTACCCGGACCGCGCCAATCTCTGTCTGATCTGGGACGTAGAAGAAATTAAGTCACTGGGACTACCGGAGCATCGACAAAAGGTGACCATCCTGGTGGTGAGCACGATGCTGGCTCTGCGATGGATTGAGGAGAACATAGCGAAGTACAGAGAATCGAGAGCGCCAACAGCTGAGTCGATTCATGCTATAGATTACAGCAGGAGACTGGAGTTGTTCGAGACTGCATGCAAGGTATTCGCCATACCAATGCAAGTCAGACACATATGGAGCCGCCTGAGATTCTTTCCTTGGTTTCGTGCGACGTTAACATCCTGGTTGTATGTAGTGACAAAGGACCACATGAGGAAACATCAAAAGGAAAATCGACAATTCCAAGCTGAAATAGGACCAGATGCCTTTAAGAGACCTCTGCTAACCCATCGAAATGCGATCACGGCGGGGTGGAAAAGAGTGGGCAGAGTATCCAGAGACAATTCTAGAGCGAGGGAAACGATACTGGAGGAGGACCTGGCGAGGAATGTAAGCATGAGTCTTCACAACTCCTTCTGCTTGAACCGGGAGTCGAAGATGAAGAGCCTACCAAGTCAATTGAAGAGGTTGCAAGAGCAGAGGGAGTGGATGCGATCCTATGAACAGCTGAAGGCCTGGGAGGAAATTGTGATCAGCTCCGATGACGAAGAGGCACTATTGGAACAAATTACAGTGCCAAGAACACCGGTATCGGGTACCTCGAAGGCGAAGAACACGAGGTGAGCCAGTGGCTCGAAAGGAAATTCTAGAGTCTTGAGTCTTGAGAGGGAGGGGGCTTGAGAGTGAACTTGGATGAAATCTGGGTTCACGAAAAAGAAATTTTAGACGAATAAGATATTGTTACTAATATGATAGATCTATTATATAAGTCAAATTGATGCATGACAATTTCCTGACTGAATAAGACAAAAGAAATTTTAAAATTACCAGCTTAAAAAGCGGGGATTCATGGGTGCAGGTGTGTGCAGATTTTGATTGCTGTTTAGCGATAGTGTGAAAATTTTATATGGTTGTGAATTTTGGAAGGTAGATAAACATAAGTCCGATGCAAACTTCTGTAAATGACCACTGGCACTGTATCTTGAGCAACACTCGGTTCTCTGGGACTCACTGGCAGATGACAACACACGATGAGAACATCGATCTCGAGTCCGGGGAGTATGTGCCAGTCGGTCATGTCTGGAGGTTTGACCTTGAGAAACCCGTGATTTTGGAGTGAAATTTTAATTTTGGAAATTTCGAATGGAGCATGTCATGCTCAGTTTTCTCGAACCAAATGAAAATGCAAAAGTCAAAAATCAGAACACCCGAATTAACAATTGCGGGAAACTACTCAAGAAAAAGGCAGGAAATTGCTATTCGCAATTTCTCGATACGAAATATTAAGAGAGTAGAGCTGTCTTGTCCTGAAAACAGGAGATTAGAATACGGACTTGAGACAGAACGACTATTCGAATGGAAAGGAGTGAACTCTGAATGGAAGAGTGGACAACTCGAGTGTCCCAAAGGTTCATTCAGAGACTTTGATTCTAGAGACAAAACTTACTTCTGTTATTAAAACTAACTGGCATTAAAACTTATTTAGTTATATTACTTAATTCTCAAGCTGCTCATCTTTTACTTACTCCTCATACTCAAGTGCATCGATATGTGAGTTCCCAATTTAAATTTCTCGAGTGTATTTTATGATAGTTATGTTGAGATAAGGCGAGTTTTAGGTTGATCCATCTGAAATGGATCAAAGATCCACTGTCCAATAAAAAGTAACTAAGCGGATTGTTCCGACCCGGTTTTTAACGGCGTTCATGTATTTTGGGTATTCCGAGACCTAAGTATGGGGACGTTTTTATTTCTAGAGTAGGGGGGGGGGGTTATTTTGGTAGTGGCCTTTAAGCTGTAATGGGTTCCAGTCTCATGTCGCAAGCGAACCGAATTGGCTCCGACCGTTCTTGAGGCGGAAAAACACAAGAGATAGTGTCCCTGACTCTTGAGCCAATGGTTATAGGGCCTATTTTTCTTAAGCCTCATATGTGACTAAAGTAGGCGACTGTTACAGACATTGAAAGGGACTGACCTGGGAGTATGTGCATATGTGCCATTCCGCCGGATTGACACAGCCGAACCCTCCGCCGGATTGCGAACTCGTTATGAAAAGGAGGGTCGGAATGTTCTTGAATTTAAAATTTTGCAGTTTCGAATCGCGGCCGAATATTTCCCGGAAATTGAGAAGAACGGCCATATTTGTCATAATAACACAGACTAAGGAATTAGCAAGACAAGAATCAGTTGGAAGAAACGCTTTGAAATACGAAGCCTCTTATCGTGGAAACAAGACACGATAAGACGCTTACCGTGAAGAAACCATACGGAAGGAAGGTCCAGTGTGATATCCTGCGGGAAGATAAGAGAGTTATCTCTGAGGGAGAGTGGTTTTGGAGGCCCGTCGCTCAAAGACTTAGTAGACTGCAGAACTTACTTTTGACCTGAGGTGATGCCCTGAGTAGCTGAATTAACTGCTATTTTATATTATATTTCAGAGCATGAGTAGCTAGAAAAGGAAAGGGTCAATCCATCTCCAATGGATTTAGTATATAACTGTCATTAAACTAGCCCTTAACAGAGCAGAAAATCAATTGGCTAGGTCTAGACGGTGAAAAACGTAGAGTTTAGGTAACTGACGCCGGCCATTCGTCAATAGATGCTTTTTCTACGCTCCGTCACTATGTAGTATTTGAGCGAATGTTACATGTATTTAGTTCGTGTTTAGTGCGAATTTATGGAATTCAGTCGTAGTCATATACTTGCTAAACGCCAACACAGAGTGGTTATTTACCAGGCAATACTTGTCTATGCCAGTTTTGGTAGTGGCGAAAGAAAGTTATCCCTTTAGTGCAATTGAACGATTTTTATTTGGCAGATACATCAGTATCATTAACGAAAATGTTACATGGGAACTGCTGATAGTTAATTGTTTGTTAAGACGGTTTATTTTTTGTTCCATAGTAAATCATTATCGGAAACAATTTTCTAGCCCTTGCTGCGAACTCGAGGGGACAAATTTGACCCCCCCTCCCTCCACTCCGTGAGTAATTATGAGGGACATCTTGCTACTGCTTAATCAATACAATGTACGGTTAACCGTGCAAAAGTTTTTTTATTAGCAAGCAAAACTTTTACGTTGAAAAAGCTTTAACATGATAAAATATAAAGGGATTTTGGAATTGGTGCTCAAAGAATTCGATGAAAGGAAATGCAATAAGCTAAAGTTAATTCTTTACATTAGAATTTAAAACTATTGGTTTGATCTAAATCTTGAATGGCAGTGTCCTTCCCCAGAGTTGTCCTACATTCTTAATGACAATTCATCATGATAGCGTTTTTCGGCTGACTAAATGTGTTTCTAGGGTTTGTAATGGATCCAGATGACTCAGTTGCTTCTGAAACTTATTCCATTGGTATAGTCAGAGACCGCACGGAGGAACTCAGAAATTGGGCTGATGAGCCTGACGGTCCAGTGGCTGATATAGAGATGGAGGGTGTAACTGGCAACTTTGATGATATAAAACAGTTCGCTTCCATGGTATTTTGTTTTGTAATTTGAAAACACAGTCAAAACAAGGACACCTATTGTTGTATTTCACGAATAAAGGGAAATGTTTTTTGTTCTCAGGTTGGAACCACTATAGTATCCACAGTTATGGATTTTGACAAGTCGTCGATCGAAGTTTTCAGAGACAGCGTAAGTTTTGTGATATGAATTTTAGTTTCCCTCTTGACTATCATGCACAAAGTTGTACTGAACTAATCTTAGGATCCTAGTTGTTTGATTGAGTTTGAGTACACGAATTAAGAAAAACCTGACCCCCTGAAATGACGTCTGTAGAGGTGAACCACTGTTATCTGTCGGTGTATGCGTTACCGGTTTTGTTACCACATCACGGAATTTTCTTTTGCTGTAAACAATCTATCTATAATTATATATTTAAATGCGGGATTCACGAGCTCGCCATGTTATAAGCTTTTTTAACGTATTGTTTTTGCATGTTCAACGAAAGAATTGTTTCACGTTAAAGCTATATCGTATATTGCAATGGTTAAGAATGTTATTTCTGTACCCGTGTCAGTTTTTTTTGGCGTTCCATTATGAGGAAATGCGGTTTCTATGACTTCTGAAACGCAAGTAAAGGAAAGCGAAATAAAGGAAATAGAAACGGGAAAGAAGATCCAACTCCTTGTCGAATGAATAAACGCCATCCACTTGACATAAGTATCCAGAACTTGATAAAAAAGACATTAACTGAAACGAAAATAAAAAATAGCAATAACGCTTTTCTGTTCACTGAGGCTGTTTGACTGCGCCACTGCATAGCCTATCAACAGTTAATTCAATGGATTTTTAACAGGTTCTTTGATTGGCGCGTGCCTATGACGCTATAAAAACCCATTGAGAGGGGGTAGGCCCCCCTCGGAACATTTTTACTTTTTAATTTTTTTGAATGTTAGTCAGTTCCTCTCAGTTTTTTGCGAGCGACCCTAGAAATAAACGGCAGCTTGTTTATGATGTTTTGCGATGGTTTTATTGTTGAGATGGGTTTTCGTCATTTTTGACCTTTTCCCTTAGACCACAAAAATTGATTTTTTTCAATTGTCTATCATTCAGTAACTTTTTTGCTTTGGTCAAAAGGACAATTCTAGTAGTGCCTCAGAGATGTTTTATTATGATGCTTTAAACCGTTTGGTAATATAATTATTTGTTTGAAAAAAATTCAAATTTTCACTTTTAAAGGCTGTCATCTAGTTCGAAAGTTGAAAAATTTTATAAATTGAAAATAATGGAGTTTGACAACAAAGCAGCTCACCCGTTGGGTTATACGGAGGTCCTTATAGCGAAAAAGCTTTTAAAAAAATTTGTATATAAGTTTTTTTCTTTTTTTTGTGATTTAACCAAAAGCTATAGGAAAAAGTAGAAATTTGAGTTTAGATAGGTCCTACATTCACTTTCATGGTTTGGGACATACATAGCAATACGGAAGGTCTAAATTACCAAATTTTAAGGTAAACAGTCGCCAACATACATGACACGTTGTAAAATTTAAAAAAATAGCCGCATTATTACAAAAAAAATTCAAAAAATTACTTCATTTTTAAATTTCAACTGATAAATTTGTAGGATGCTCTGTAGGCCTCTTAGGGGCCAGTAGAGGAGCATCCAAGTCGGAAAACTTAAAAAATAAAATTAAAAAAACTTTCAGTTGCTCAGGTATCTTGTCCAGTTTTGTCTGAGCATTATAATTGCGCCCAAAGGCACTTAGCATAGCGGTAAGGCGTTCACTTTGAAACCGTCAGATCGTGTATTCGATTCCATGCCATGGCAATGACAGTGTGCGAGGACTAGCGAGCTCTCACTTGACCTCTAGCTTCAGGTCTACCACAGCCTGAACAATTTCGGCTGCAATAGTGGTACCACGTGAAAGTTTTAGACGCAAAAAGCGGCCTTGTCGCAAAAAAAGAGCTTCGCTCAACAAAATAGCACAGTCTAGAATGTGGAGAGATAATACAAATGGATCATCCTCGACAGGACTATTAAAGCCTGCTGATAGCTCCTCTGCGATTCACAGGAACCACATTATATAATTGTCTTGCGAAAGCATCTTCAGCTGCCCTGCGCATCCAGTCAATTTCGCCGGGTTGTGTGCTTATTGTTACTGAATAAACGCAGAAAAAAAAACACTCAAGGTAGGAAGTGTGGGGCGCTTACCTTAAGGTGCTATGTGAACAGACCTTCAGCTCTTGGAAGACACTTTGTACCAAACAATTGATGTTGGCTTCTGACAAAACACTAATCCAACTGGCTATCTTTTTCGCAAGCTCGTAGTAGACGGAACCAGGCATGGAAATGATCGCACGCAAAGGAGTGTTCTTCTGAACCTTCGCATTTCCGAAAAACGGAGCTCGTTGTGAACCACAATACGTACTTCGATGTTCTGCTTTTCACTGATGAAATTCTGTTGACGCAGATCAGTCAGTATGTTCTGGAGTTTATTTTCTTCAGCCAGATATTCTTCAGTCGCTGAATTTGGGGGCTTTCCGAAAGTTGAGGTAGCTTCTGATTGTAAGTGTTGGTTTTCATCAGGTATAAACCAGTGTCTTTGTCATATGGCACGGCGAGGAAATCATTGTCAATCAGCTATTTTCTCACTTTGCCTGCTTTCTTATCAGTAATTTGTTTCTTACGAGCAGAAACGTTACCTACAATGAGCGAATGCACTTTGTTAATAGTATCGTTCTCAGCATTGCAGTTGTGGTATCGCTCGGGAACAAGGTCCGTTTTAGCCAGAAAACTTTCCTCGTCAAACTTAGTACAACAGGGGTGTTTCGGACCAAACCGAAGAATTTGCTCCTCAATGACAGGCACATCAATGTCATCCGAAGCCGCGAGATATCCTTTCATATTGGGAAACGGCTTGCCTTTTTGAGCGCTGAGGTTTTCCAGTTTCAGAACACGTTTCTCTTGATCAGCTCTCGATTTGACATGAAACCAGAGATGGCAATAGTTTCTCCGGAATATTTTCTTTCAGTTCACTTCTAGCAGTGTCTAACTTGGACTGTAAATTGTAACGACTCAGAGTGGTTGTCCGTTTTTCCCACTCACCACTTGTGTATTGAAACGCCCATTTTCTGGCACTCTGAACTTCAAAAACTTTGGAATCAGTTTGTCGGCGTAAAGTTTCTCGAAAAACTAGTGGCGTAAATTACTTGATTTTGTAAAAAAAAATTTCTCGTAAGGGTAAAAATTTCGAGGTGCCACCCCTCTGAGATGCTAGCCTCAGGAATTGTTTGGCCTTCTGGCGAAATGGCACATCGGCTTAAGGGTTGTTTACCTTTATTCTTTTCGGCCTAGCTGCCACTCGATACATGTTTGGTTATACTTAAACGCCGGGGTCTTTCTTGTAATTTCCTGCGAACCGCAAATGTAATCACTTTCATATCATTATTTTTGCAATAAGCAATGGTATTGCAATCGGGCAGTAGGCTTTTTCCCCTCATAAACAACTTTGTCCACGGGATTTTCACTTCTAGAAGACCTTTCATCTGACAAGCTCAACTTCTTAAAAATTCAAACAAAAGTATTATCCCTTAGCTAGTAATTAGTTCAAGCCCTTTTCAAGCTGTACTTATCTTTTCAAAAAAAAAGTCTCATCTTGGGTTCTTGGTTTTCGTCCTAGTTTCTGTCGGTTCATTTTCCGTTTTTTTCTAAACGCCATTTTTTCATCTGTAGGGTTTTTACTGGTTTATTTTTTAAAGCATGGGTTTTGCTCCAACTTAAACAACAGTTTTAACTATAACTGAAACTTCATAAATTTGTCATTTTATCTTGTCTGATTTTTTTTCTTTTTTTTCCAATTTTTTGCTCAAATCTTTAAACAGTTTCAGTTTATGTCATATCGACTTCGTCAAATTATTTTGTATAATTTTGAGGGCAAAATATATCCGTTTGGGATTATGTGTTAAGTTTGAATGGGTCTTAAAAACTTTAAATTTTTTGTGACAACAGTTTTGTTTTCGGCTGAACAGGTTTCGACCCAAAGTTTGTCGCTTTTGTTGCCGCTCCGTAATTGATTTCCTAAGGGGTGCTTTTGAACGTCATCTGATACAAATATGAAGTTTTTGTAGCTGTAATTTTTCATTTTTTGTCAGGTTTTTTTTTTTCAATTAATTTTTCAGATTTTTTGTACTTGCCTTTTTTTTCATTCACTATTTTGTAGCGCAATGTGTATTTTGCATCGCAATTGTTGCGAAGCTCCGCTTTGCCTTTGCGTTAGTTTTCTTACGAACTCGAAAAGTAGCATCTTCAACTAGTGCTTTCGAATTCGTATGTTATGCGTTCGAATATCGGTGGGAATGGAGTTTTTCAGCTGATTTTATATGCCACATTTTCTAATATATCACCGAGTTAACTTGGTCAGTAAAGCGGAAAAGGCAAGCTAATTTTTTCACGACACGTGGATAACGTTTCAATTATTCATCGCAGCTGGAATCACGACTGAAAGGGCTTCAAAATGATATATCACTCAAAATTTTCGAACATCTACTAATACTATAGTTATTTGTGGTTCTTGGATTTGCGCGGAGAAGTTTACGTGAATCGAAGGCACCTCCCAAATCAGTGATCAAAACCATAAGTGGTAACACCAAACTTATATCACAATGGTAAAGTGTTTGATATTACAATGCTGAAAACAAAATGGTAGGGGTCAATATTGTGCTTTTTGTTGCAGGTTACTGAAGTGAAAGACAATATTGATAGCTTGAAGAGTCAGATCAGAGAGCTGAAAGGATTACAGGCACATTTCATCAACTCTCCCAATCTGCATTTCGGCGGACAGACGAGAGAAAGCGAATTGATAGAAATGAAGTGTGATGAAATCAAACAAGTTTCCAATGCAATAAAAGCGTCCATACGACGTAAGAAGCCACAAAAATTTCAATGATTGTAGGTTTTTTGTTAATTCTCAGAATGGATAAAAAATTAGCTTTTATTTTGTTTTGATTCGAGTCAGGGGCGGATCTAGGATTTTCTCGAGGAGGAGCGGATTTAAAAAAAAAAATTATGAAGATTATTTTGACCTTTTTTTGGGCCGACCAAATTGATTTTCTGAGCTCTCCCAACTCACTAAAGACCCCTTATTTTATCGATTGATCCAGCTTTCTCAATTATGGTTAATTTTTAGCAAAAAAGTACCAATATTAACTTGTCCTAAAAATTCACAGAGCTTTAAGGGCATCTTTTTTCTTAGAAGTTCGAAAGTTGAGATTGCGAAAGGAGATATATGCCAATGAGTCTAATTTAAATACTTGTTTAGTGAAAATTTTTTCAAGCTGAACAGATGTCGAACTGACATTGATATCAGGGAAGGAAAAGTAAAAAAATACCAATTACATAGAATTTGTTTTTTTTTAGTGCTTCAGAAAGAAATCGAAGATGCGAAGAGACGTGGGGAGGAGATGAACGGGACAGAAATGCGGGAGAGACGGACTCTGAGTCGCAGCATGACGAAACTGATGTTGGAGGTGACGAGTGACTACTACGAGTCTCAGTTGCAATACAAGGAGAAAGTGAAGAGCAAGATCCAGAGACAGCTGGAGTTGGCAGACCAGGGCTTCACTGCAGAGGAGATTGAACGCATGTATGAGGCCAACATGAATGTATACTCACAGGTTAGACAACTAAGAAATGTTACGTTGGAGTTTTGAAGGTTATGTTGGATTCCAAAGGCAGTTTTGTTCCAATTATGATTTAAAAAACTCCAGCAAAGAGAACAAAAACGGTGATTAAGTCATTTTAAGGACTTTATGGAAAAGGAGCGAGTGGAAAATACTGATCTTAAAAAAGGGCAAGTGTTTTTGTTGACATAAAATTTTTCTGTTTCAGGTGGCCGAGAACCTCTACGTAAGTAGCTTCGAAATTGTATAAAAAAATTCAGAGCTTGAATAAACTAACATTCTATCCTAACTTTCAGCCAGTTTCCGAGCTAGCCCATTTGCTGCAAAACAATCTCTTTCTTTCTTGAGAGCCACCAAATACTTGACCTGAAACTATTTGGAAACTCCGAAACTATCTGGATACTATCCTGAAACTATCTGGATAGCTGCCGATTCTGTGATCTTGTAAGTAAACTGCTAATCAGATTTTTTTGTTCCGACCATTGAAAATCGTGAGAAACTTTGTTTTCGGGTGTGTTTAGTTTATTTTTGTTTTCCAAGGAAAATTAGGTACCACAAATAATCATCGGACTGGATTGAGTGATAGATCATATGAAAGTCCTTACAGTCGAACCACATTTTAAAAAATTTCCTAGTGTCGAGAAAAAGCGGTTTGAAATTTTTGATTTTTCGTCATATATCGAGAGAATAAAGCGAGCGAGCAGCAGTCGTATTTTAATTGCTTAAAAACTTGCAATTAGCTTAATTTGAAACGTAACAAGGATAGCCTGTTGCTGTGCTAGTAGCATAGAATGTTCCAACAACAGTCTTAAAAAATACAAAGTGTTTTCTCAAATTGGTGTAATTTTTTTTCAGTCTTTGAAGAAAATTAACTAGAAAAACGAAACAAAAAAATTGTGAATTTTCAATTTTTTGCGGAAATTTTTTCGAATTTTCAAGTTTTTGATTCCCAAAATCGCTAAAAACTCCAAAAACTACCATTAGTTGAATAAAACCAAGTTTTCACTGCTTAAATTAAGCTTAAATAAGCTATTGCAATTAACTACCTGACTAATTAGCGCGAAATTAGACCAAAAATCAAAAATTTCAAAATGTTTTTTCTCGACAATTGAAAAATTTTTTGAATTTTTAAATGTCTTTCGAATTACGACTGAAAGGGTTTTAACATGATATATGACTCGACCCTGTAAAAAAAACAGTAAAAAAAAATTAAAACACCCGAATACAAAGTTCCTCCCCATTTTCAATGGTTGAAACAAAAACTTAGTTTGCTTGAGTAATGTTTGTTCACTTTGAGTATTTAAGCGTCTTTTTGGGATCAAAATTTTCAAAAATTTTTTCACTATAAGTGTAAAGTATACCTAATTTCCAGTTGTTTGTTCAGCTTCTTTTATCTACGACGCCGATAAAAAGACAATGATTTAAAAAAACTTGGTTGCTTTTTTAGACTATGGTCGGAACATTCTGTGCTAATTGCTTTATATATACTACTATTAAATTTATGAATTTGTAATTTGTTCTACAATGAATTGTAGTGTTTTCTGTGTATAGTAGATATCATCTTTTCGAATAATGTCCTTGTATAAAGTTGTTGAGTTTCATAGCTTTTAGTTTTAAATAGTTTTGACGTTTCCTTTACAAAAAGAAAATCCGTTTAATTTGTTCTGTTCCATTCCAGTTGTCTTAATACAGAACAAAAATTAGGATATGGATGTAAAATTTTATAAGGCACGTGAAGAACGTGAAACAAGAAAACAATATCATTTTTTTTCTGAGGAATAGCGTTCTAGGTTTTGATACTGGTCAGGTGAGAAGAAGCTAAGCATCTGAGTTTGTTGATTTGGTGTTTTTTAGCTATCGATGACTTTAGAAGAAGCACATGCAGCTAAGGGCAAAGCGGACGATAGGCACGAGGGAATGGAGAAACTTATGAAGGCGCTGAATGAGCTGTACGAGCTGTTTGCCGACCTCGCTCTCTGGGTGGAGGACCAGTCGGAACTCCTGGACAGTGTCGAGGTACACATCGAGAACTCGGTGGACTATGTTCGCAAGGCAACCAAAGATACCAGACAAGCAGTACTGTATGCGAGAGCGGCCAGACGGGTTAGTACTCATAGTTTGAATTCTATCGAGAAGAAAGTCTACCTGTTACAGAGGCCATATTTATGCTGGTGTAGTGTCAGTTAATTGCTCACTTAACTGAACGTGACTAACGGGAACTGTTATCTCATTAATTCTTATTAAGGGTGTTATACCCTCATCCGTTAGGTGAGATATAATCTATGTCTAGTGAAGCTTATGCGCTAGATAAGGATGAGACGAGAAAGATAACAACTTAAATTCAACTCGCTATGTTTAAATCTGGCTGACACTGACCTCGAATCATTTGAGAGACAGTGCCTCATAGGAACTCTTCTAGTTTTTTTTACAACTGGAACGGTTAAGCATGTACAACGTCTGAACAAACTAAGGATTCTTATCTAGTGTGCGGGTTTGTTTTTAAAGCAAATCTATTTATTTTTAATCGGATGTTGAGCATTTTATGTTTTTTTTAGAAACAAGTGATGATAGCCATTCTGGTAGCAGTTCTACTTGGAGGTGGAATAGCTTTTGCCCTCTACTATATGGAAAGCAAAGGAATCATCTCATTCTGAATTTCTGTCGTCTTATTATGTAGTTACATTTTCAATTCAATTCAATTTTTGATAGATTACAGCTCATATGTAGTTTGTTCATATTTTTGGTAAATGATTTAATTTCTTTGCAGTTTTTGGCTGCCTTTTAATTTGTTCAAAATTTAGAATGCAATTTAGTATCGTAAATTCTCCTTTTAAAAGGAAATTGAAAACAGTGCCTAAAAAGCGATCGAGTTTGAAGTTTAAGCGAATTATGGCTTTTGTTCTAGTTTTGGTGAAGTGAAGTTTCACGAAAGTTAATTTTCAGCAGTGAAAGTGAAAACCCTCAAACTTTTTGGTGGCTGAGCGCATAAGTGGTTGTAGTTCGTAAATTGCAAGAACGAGAGGAAATGATTGGAAACTTTTGCTTTTCACTCAAACAAACGCTGATATTGTCCTAATTTAGTGCTCAGCAAATGTGCTGAAAATAAATATCTGTGTACTGCTCTTGTGTTTTTATAAACATGTTGTCTATCCGTTTTTTTGGTGGTTGACCGGGTGGCCGCGCTATCAGTGCCTCAGTGCCAAGTGTGATCTGTCAGCTCTATCAATACCATATCACTTTTATTTTGAGCCATTTTCATAGGCTCTTGCATACTATATATATGCTGCAGTTTCTCTCCTGACTAGTGCATGCATATGGCGACTTTGCAAAATTACAATTATGGGAACTTATGGCGTCGATGCAAAATTTCAATTATGGGAACTTGGACGTAATTGTATTGTTCGTGTCTGAAATTTGTTACTGACAACAATCAACTTTCGTTCGAGCTTTTTTAAATGCAAATCAACTTTTCACATGCCGCAATTTTCAAATTCTGCAATTTTTACAAGCCGGAATTGTATAATTAATGAATTTCAAAAATGTTTTATTATATTAAGATTAACGTTTTATAAATCAATTGTGATAAATATTTTGTTGTGTAATGGGATCATTATAATATACCGTATCTGGCGGATGGATAATACGGATATATTGTCTTTTAGTGTAATGCGAGCTGTTCAATTGGTAATTTTATTTAGCGCTACTGGCTATCAATTGTATTTAGATTGGATTCATTATTTTAGATATGTCTCGAGCGGTTAAGACCTATCTTGCTTTAAAGGATGCTGGTTCCGATTCCTAGCTTCTGATATCTCGCAAGCCGATTGGCGCAAATAAGAGCATGATTGGAATATTTTATTCAGTTGATTTGTCTCCAATTGATTTCTAGCTCGATATACGATTCCAATGATTGGTATTAATTACCATCAATGTTTACATAGTTAAATAAATATATGATGCAGCTCTATTTTTTATCATCAAGGTGAATTATGTAATCTATTCGGTTCAAATGATTAATTAGATTGAATGACATCATGAAGGGATGTCACACAACCTCACAAGAAGAAGTCTTCCCGGGTGGTTGAAGTGTTTCATCAGATACATTTACAATAATTCACATAATAATTTAAGACTGCTTTTGATTAAAAAAAATATACGTTTATGAATAAGATATGTATCTATCGAAGGATATATCACAATAATCACAAAAATTTAGAAGATCTCATAGTACTAGGAGCACAGGTTATTACTTCAATTTATGAAATGAGAGGAAACAAAATTCAATTTGAAGAGAAGATAATTGTTAAGCCACCTTGAGTCTGGGTTTCGGAGTTAAAGTGATATATGATAAGGATAGATTAATGATATCATGATGTATTCAGTTGTCAGCTGTAACTAAATTTGCACGGCAAGTACTGTCGCGTGGAGTAGCTAACTACTTTGGTCGTCGTTTCATTTCACATTTTGGTATCGCTGTCTTCGTTCGTTCGTTGCATGACATTCGTGTTGCTCTGTCGATGCTGAGGTCGGTGTTTGAGTTAAGATGAGGCTGTTAAGTTCTTCTCGTATCCTCAATAATTGCGAATGTGTTTTCAACAACTTAACAATGATTTGTTTTATTGAAATATTTACTTTGTTTTTGAAGCTTTTCAACTAGAAACGCAATTTGTACTCTGTTATACATGCTTATAATTTGATGCTTCGTCTTCTACTCGTTTTTTTGTTTTTGTTCCCTCAGAAGTCTTTTTGTCTTCTTCGTATGGGTGTTTTGTGCCTTTGTTGGCCTTACTCCCTGAATGAAGATGATCGACTTTTTTATTTGAAAAAGTCAAAATTACACGTTTCAACGATGTTTTTGCATTGGTCGCGATCATCGTATTTTGTGCATTGTCTGGCTTTTTGTGTTTTCAATTCGTTTCTTCTACTGTAGCTGCACTTCACTCCTATAGGCTTTTAAGGCAATTTGCTGGTTCGCCTGAGCAAAATTTGGCGTCAGTTAGAATTAAAATTGATGAGTTTAAGTTTTTCATCAAATTTGTTGATATTTATGATGTTCTAATTAGCTTTTAAAGTTCGCGTGTTGCTTTTCAGCATTGCTTGTAACCTTTCAGGGTTGTCCTAACAATTCCGTTGGATCTTTGCTGGCACATTTGAGGGTTTTCTTTCCGCATTTCTGCATCAATTGCTATGAGATTTTCGGCTTTTAGGGTCAGAATTGAAAATTTTCCAATTTCAGTTTTGAAAGGCAATATCACGTGGTGATCAGTGATGTTAAATGCAGTGATGTACAGCAGGTTATTTTTCAGAACTTCACTAATTGAGGAAGTGAATGCAATTTCGCAATTTTCTTCAAATTCTTTCGATGGGATTACGATTCCGGTTGTTTTTGCCATGTCCTGGCATGCGTCCTTTAAATGACATTCTACAAGAATTGTTTGATGCGGAGCTATTGTTTGACGTTTTGTTAGAGTCAGAGGGAATTTTTTCACTCGATTAATTCTTCTATGTTCGTTTGGAGGTTTTATCTCGTTAATTTGCAGAGTCAGGTCTGGGAAATGAAGTAAATTATACTTGGCACAGATATGAATGTGGTGTTTTTTGTAGAACGGATTTCCTAGAATTATTGAGTTGGCCGCGTGTAGAACGAGAAAAGATTCTACAAATGTCATATCTGCCAATCTAAATTCTATTGTTACTTCTGTTTCAATTGGCACGAGTTGTCCTCCTGCCATTCGTACTCTCTTAAGTTTCGATTCACTTATTTTAAGAGGGCGGTATAGAGATTTTTCATCTTTTAAGTCGTCGAATGTCTGTTTTGAAATGACATTTGCGCAGGCTCCTGTATCAACCAGGGTTCTTCTTTGTAATCCCGATGAGAATCGTAATTTTGTGTACGTCAAAACTGTTCCTTCCGCTGGAATTATTGCGTAAAGGTTGATTATCTCATCGGGTTGAATTGATTGTTTTGATGATTGAGATGATTTGGGGGGCTGACTCGGTGGCTTTATTAGTTTTTTGGCTCGTTTGGAAACATGAGCGTTGCATCTTGTCCTTGTGGTTTTTGTCTCCACCAGCATTGACTTGCTGTGTGATAAAGCTTTCCACAGATGTCGCAGCGTTTTGCTGGTGATCGAACCCTTGGTGCAAAAGGTCCACCGGGAAATTGAATTTCAGCTTGCGCTGTCTGATTTCCAGTGAAGTGTTGTTGTTGTTGCAGGTAGTTCGCGTTTGGCTGTACCTGTGTTGGTTGGATTTGCACTATCGGTTGATTTTTTTGCATATTTTGGTACTGTTGGTATAGGTACCATGGAGGATATTGCTGAGGTGCAATTGGTCCCGTATTTTGGAAATTAGGCTGATTATTGCTAATCCAAATTGATTTTGCCAATTATTTATGTTTTTCCCTTTCCTGCCACTTTGTTGCTGTCCAGGCAAGTTATTTTGATTTTGATTACCACTAAACTGACCATTTTGGTTGGTGTTGTTCTTGTTTTGTTGAAAAGGCGGATTCGATTGTTTCTTTGACTGCTCAGCTATTTGTGATCTCATTTCGTTGATCTGCTTCTCAATTTGTTCCTGATTTATGGACAATTTTGTGAGAGCACTGATTAAATTTTCTGAGACTCTGTCATTTACTTCATTAAATCCGTCTTCCGGGTAATCTTCTTTTCGGCATACTTCTCGAATCATGATTTGCTTCTTTGTCAAATTACACAATTCTTGGACAGTAGTTGCTTGTGGTTGCTCCATCAAATTTGGTAGCAGCCAGTTTGGCATTCCTTTTATGAACAATCGTCTAATTTGTTCATTGCGATTATCATTTACTGCATCTATTCTTTCTTGTCTTTGTGCAGTTTCTCGATGAAATCTCGCCGTGTCTGCTACTAATGGTGCTCCATTTAATGCAACATCGATTGGTTCGACAGCTGGCAAATCTGGCGTTGGATACGCTCGTTGCGCTTTATTCGTCAAGTTCACCAAGAAGTTCTCGGGTGGATCGGTTTTAGAGTCGTACCGGAGCTGTTCTAACTTCAGTACGTGGACTTCCTGCAGCTGCGGATTATAAAAGTGATCCCTTAGAGCTGTGAGGCTGTTCTCCACGTTCGCTCTGATTGCTTCTGGCAGCGTCTGGGAAAACCGTAGTGCCGCTTCTCGTAGATGTAGTTGTAAGAAGTTCGCTTGTTGGCCAGGGTCGATTCCCGCTACTCCGATGTATCCTCGGAACAATTGCTCAAACTGCTGAAAGTCATCTGTTTCCGTTCCTCTGTAAGGTTCGACCGAAATTTGCGCGTGTGCCATCTTATTACAGTTGAATGAATATCAAGTTTATGAAACAGTTGATGATAAAGCACAGCACTTAGTCGATTTAAGGGGAACACAAGAAAATTTTGCTAGACTTTCGCAATTTTGGATTATTCATACTTTATGCAGCTTTTGCTATGCTGTTTTTGGTTATTATTGCCATCAGGTTTGCTAATATTTCCGTTACTTCACTTTTTTGTGGTTGGGGAACTTATTAGTTACAATATCAATTTACTGCAATTGAGAGTTTTGAGTTTATCTGTTTTACTAACTGTTTTGGCGTTGAAAACCTTTCATCTACTTCCTTTTCTGCCTTGTCAGAAGCTCACTTGACATACCATCTGACTGGAGCCAAAAGTAGAGAAGTTGTAGGACACAATCCACATATCTGCTTCTGTAGATTGAGGAAGTTGTCAACCCAGAGATGTTGAAAAGTTATGAGTGTCTTCTTTTCCTTTCTTTCTCAGTTAGTTGTTCAATGAATGTTGCTCTGCCGCCAACATCTGAGCATTGCTGTGCTGATCAAGCTGTTTTTCGCTGTTCTGCGTCAGCAAAGTTGTTGTCACTTTCTGCTCGAATTATGATGTTTGGAATTGCCGATGACTGTTTTGAATCCAGAAGTAGAAATTCCCGCGAAAGTCACCATATAATATACCGTATCTGGCGGATGGATAATACGGATATATTGTCGTTTAGTGTAATGCGAGCTGTTCAATTGGTAATTTCATTTAGCGCTACTGGCTATCAATTGTATTTAGATTGGATTCAATATTTTAGATATGTCTCGAGCGGTTAAGACCTATCTTGCTTTAAAGGATGCTGGTTCCGATTCCTAGCTTCTGATATCTCGCAAGCCGATCGGCGCAAATAAGAATTTTTTATTCAGTTGATTTGTCTCCAATTGATTTCTAGCTCGATATACGATTCCAATGATTGGTATTAATTACCATCAATGTTTACATAGTTAAATAAATATATGATGCAGCTCTATTTTATCATCAAGGTGAATTATGTAATCTATTCGGTTCAAATGATTAATTAGAATGAATGACATCATGAAGGGATGTCACAATCATATACTAATTTGGTAATTATGAAAACTTGTTTTAAGCACTAAGTTTTGTTAGCCCTTTGCTTTGCGTCTAAAATGCGTCTAAAGTTACACTTCCAAAGTTTTACCTTAAATTTCCCTTACAGTTTTCAAAAAAGTCATTTTTCATATTTTTCGGTCTTTTTGAGTAAATTGGCTCTTTTCCATCTGTTTATTGGCTATGCTGTGTTTGTGTCTGCCAAGCCAGCGTCTGTCGAAATTTGTTGAGGTTGGTTTGAAAATAGGATCGTTTTAAGCTCTACACTTTTTATAACCTGACAATAGGGGTTATGTTTGTGCCTTTTTGCTGGCAGCGAGTACTAATATTGCTGATTGCTATACCGTTTCATTGTCAAGGTCAACGAAGAGTTATTACTAACTGATTACCAATTGTTTGCTTAATGGCATCAAATTGAGCTGAACAATATCTTTAAATTTCAGAAACCATGCTATAGTTGTTGTAACCTGGTGTCTGCTCGTGATTATTACTTAAAATGGGTTCAATGGGAAACTTAACGTCTGTGCTTCTTTCGTATGAAAATTTGATTCACGCTGTTTCGGGTGCAGCTGGATCAACCGTCGCACTATCTATCTTCTATCCTCTCGACGTCATCAGAACCTATCAACAGGTGACGTCAGAGAAAACTGAAGAACGAAGATCGCCGTCACCTCGCAGAAACGATTCAAAGAAAAGGTCCAACCAAGTGAGCAGTGCCTGGATAGAAGTGGCCAAAGATATTGTTGCCAAAGGAGGTTTGGGAGCTCTTTATAATGGCATGGGCGCAGTAAACAAAAGCGTGTGTGTATCTAATTTTGTCTACTTTTACGTTTACCATGCTTTGAAAAAGCTAGCTCAAACCCACGGTTTCACACAGAAACCTGTTTTGAATTTGGTTCTGGGGATGCTCGCAGGAACTGTGAACGTCCTAGCTACTACGCCTCTGTGGGTGGCTAATACTAGAATAAAGCTGCAAGGAACGAAAACAGACGAATCAGAGAATGCTGAAACTCTACAGAAAACATTCTATAAAGGTCTAATTGATTGTATGGTAAAAATAGCGAAAGAAGAAGGCGTAAGGGCACTGTGGTCGGGGACGTTGCCTTCGCTTATTTTGGTCTTCAACCCTGCGATTCATTGGGCTGTTTACGAAACTCTCAAGTCAAATATGAGCAACAAGACAGGGTTTTTGAACAGTGCTTTGTATTTGTTCTTGATAAGTGCTATGGCTAAATGTGTAGCTTCTATCACTACATATCCTTTGCAGCTACTCCAGAATCGACTGAGAGCGAAGTGGTACAATACTGATCAGAAACATCTCCAGATCTCGATGATTGCATACTTCAGAAATATTTTGAAAACTCAAGGTGTCAAAGGCCTGTTTCGGGGGTTGGAAGTAAAGTTATGGCAGACGGTGCTAACAGCTGCATTCATGTTTGTAATATATGAGAAAATTAACGCTAGAATATTGCGATTAGTTTTAAATAAATAAATTTTGTATTAATGTATCATTTGTAATTTATACTAGACAAATATTGCTAATTGTGAGTGCTCCAAAAAGTCAAACATGATATCAAAAACGAATCAAAAATTTCGACGAATTCCAAAAAAAAATTCAAAGATTTAGGGGTATACCAAATCAGTTTTCCGAGATTGCTGCGAGCAGTTAAATGAAAGGTCTACATTTTCCTCATTATCGGTGTCAAAACTTTGTGGGCATAATGGTTTCCTGATTGTCGCTAAAACGTACACGTCTTTTTTAAAATTTGCAAAAAAATTGTCATAGAGTCTGTCGAATGTAATTAGTTCAATGAAAAACCTTTGTGTAGCTCCTTAACATTTTTGATTCAGCAGCATTTCATTTGATTGGTTTTGTCTGAGCCAAAATTCGAAAAGACAAAGTTTATTTATAAAGAAGAATAGCCATTAACTGTGCAAATAGCACAGAATGTTCCGACCGTTCTTGAAAAGATAAAAAAAGTTTTTATTTCAAATTAGTTTGGCTTTTTCTGCGTGGTTTGGCTTTTTCAGATAAAAAGATCTGAACGGAAAACTAGAACTTGGGCAAATTCGAAAATTATGCTAAAGTAAGCAAATTGGACAACAGTTTTTGAAAAATAATGATTGAAAAACAAAAATTCATAAAACACAAAAATGTTGGTTTGAAATTTCCAGAAATCTTTTAATTCCCAAAATGGCGCCAAGAACACTTTATATGTGGCTAGCGCTTGGTGACTATCAAGTGTCTGAGGCTAAGTGGTTGGTGAATTAGACTCTTAATCTTCAGGTCACAAATTCGAATACCAGAGGTAGCCGAATTTTCACTAATTTGAGGCTTAATCTCTATTTTTATTATTGCACTTTAAAAAGCTGCTTTTTGTGTTCTCGCAAGTGGTTGAAAAGCGATGTGAACAATGCGGTAGAGAAGTAATCAAGAGTTACTTCCTGAATCAACGCCATTTCGGCTGACCGGCACACTTGGTCTGTAGGTATCGAGTACTCCTGAGACTGCAAAGGTCTTGGGTGCGAATCTGACGGGACCTGTTTTTTTTTAAACGAAAAATATTCTTCACAAACAATTTGTCGGCTCATTGTTTGTCAGCTTATGTTTTTTACCGGTCTAGTTGTCATATCGAAAGGTTTTTTTTTTAGTTTTATTTATCTCACCTCTGGATCGCACAAAAAGCTAAAAATTCTAAAAATGCTTAAAATATAAATTGTAGTCCATGACAACATTTTTTTCGGTTTTTTTTCTTTTCTTTCGGCCTAGTAGGTTTTGGCCTTTATTATATCGGTTTAATAACCATATTTCGTCTTTCGACGAGCGAAAACAAAGTTATTGGAGTATGCGTGTCTGTGTTTTGAGGATGAGGTGGGTTATTAAACAATCAACAAAACTTAAATTAATGTTTTCGGCTTGAAGGGTTTATTCCGAGGTATTTTTCGGGTTTGTTACCGTTTTCTTCCGATGATTATTTCAGATTCCATTGTCTTGGCTTGTTTTTTATGTGATCTAGTTTTTCGAAATTAACGAATTTTTTCTGCTTTGCGGCTATCTTGTTTTGTAGCGCAAGTGGTGCAAAGCTCAGCTTCACCTCTGTGTAAATTAAATTTGTCTTCAGAAGTTTGAGGTTGATTGAGGTGAAATTTTTTCGTTGTCTGGATGATTTATATAGATAGTTGCAAAAAGTTGGAACTGACAGAATTAATTGAAAAGAGCAATTGTCCTAAATAAGAAAAAAAAATTGCATAAGCTAGTTTTTCAGACAAAACTTTTGTGTCAAGGTCACCTACAAAGTCACATTTGCATGCAAAAGTTGCTCAAAATTGGCAGATTGCTTTTTAAAATTAATTATCTTCCAACTTTTTGCTACATTATATATAATTAGTAGCAAAAAGTTCGGACAGACAGAATTAATTAAAATGAGCAATCAGTGCTTTTTGACGCTTTTTTGCATGCAAAATCTGACGCCGGACAACCTTGAACTTTTTGTCAGACCAAATTCGAAAAGCAAGATTGTCGATTATCCGATGATTATGCTAGCCTAATTTTTAAATGCTGCGACATCCAGATTTACTACAAAATAGTTAGCAAAAGTAGTTAAAAAAACTAAAAACTAGAGTTATTTTCAACAAAAAAAAAACAGATTAGGCCGTTCCAAAAAAAAAACAAACGGAAATAAGAAGATGATCAAATCATTCGGAATTTAGAAAATAATTGTAGAAAAATTTTAGCCACCCTGTTTCCGTTTCAAGGTTTACTATTCCCCGCTTCGTATGCAATTGCCCGCCGTGGTTATAAATTTTAAGCGATACTCTGCGTTATGTTTATTTCAGTTTTAATTTCCGTTGATGTCTATACAGTTGCTCTTTTTAATTAATTCTGTCTGTCCGAACTTTTTGCAACTCTCTATAGAGAGTTGCAAAAAATTCGGACAGACAGAAATAATTAAAAAGAGCAACTGTCTAGACATCAACTAAAATTAAAACTGAAATAAACATAACATCGAAAGTTCATAAAGCAGAGTTACGGGATCTACTTAACAATCCCCACTTTCAAGAAAGGGGAGGAGATTGTTAATTAGATTACCGGCAGCGAACTTTCGACCAATCAGAATGCAGCAAAACTCGAATTTACATACAATGCTCTAGTGCGAATTTACTGTTTTTATTTACAGGGGGTGGATATTATTTAGTAAATACAAAAGGGGAAGGGAGGGGGGGGGGGGGGGTGAGATTGTTAAGTAGATCCGAGTTACGCTCAAAATCTATAACCACAGCGGGTAATTGCATCCCAGGGTCGAGCTGTTTTATAGTAAAATCTGGATGTTCATCGCACTATTTAAAAATTAGGCTAGCATAATCATCGGATAACCGACAATATCGCATTTTGAATTTGGCCTGACAAAAAATTCAAGGTTGTTCGGCTTCAGATTTTGCATGCAAAAAAGCGTCGAAAAGCACTGATTGCTCATTTTAATTAATTCTGTCTGTCCGAACTTTTTGCTACTAATTATAGTTAATGCTTAATTTGGCAGTATCTTTTAGATCAGCTAATCTGAGCGAAATCAAGTAGAACAAAAGTGCGTATTTTGACATCTGAAATCAAATTTCATTTCAATCGTAAAACCGTATACAGCGAGTTGCTAAAAGTTCGGACAGACAGAAATCATTAAAAAGAGTAATATGCCAATTTTGAGCAATTTTTATACGAAAGTTTGAGTTTTTAGGTGACCTTGAGTCACCTTGCACGTAAAAGTTTTAGTAATAGTTCATTTGCTCTTTTTAATTAAATATGTATTTCAACTTTTTGCAACTCTTTATAACCGTAACATCAAAAAATCCAGTTAACCTAGAGCAACTGTTTTTCGACCGTTTAAGTTGCTCAAGGTCGCCGATATTGCTAACAATTTCGCATTAACTGAAGTTCGAATCTTTCTGAATCTTCGTCGCTTTTTTTCAGACACTGAGTTGAAATGGACAAACTGTACACGCTCCCTCCCGCCGACCACTTCAGGTCTCTCAAAATCCAATTCGCAGCAGCCCTTACTGGGCACAAATTGGAAGTGCTCAACAAGGAGCCGGACTTTGTGTTCGGTGAAACTAACAAGACTCCTGAGTTCCTGGCCAAGTTCCCCATGGGAAAAGTGCCGGCACTTGAGACAAAGAAAGGCGAGGCAGTCTTCGAGAGCAACGCGATTGCCTATTACGTTGCGGACGAGCAACTGCGAGGAAAACACGTGATTGATGCCGCTCAAGTTCAGCAGTGGATCAACTTTGCCGATAACGAGATCCTGCCATCGGCTTGCACATGGGTTTTCCCGACAATGGGGATAACTCAGTTCAACAAAGCCGAAACGGAGGCTGCAAAGGAGCATTTGAAGAAGTGCTTGGATGTTTTGAATGTCTATCTGACCAGCCGAACCTTTTTAGTTGGTGAGCGAATGACGCTTGCCGACATTGTTCTGAGCTGCAACATGAGAATGTTGTTCACGGATGTGATGGATCCCGAATTCAGGGCACCATACCCGAACGTCATCAGATGGTTCGAAACTATCGTGAATCATCCCGAGTTCCTCAAACTGGTGAAGGAAACTAAGATGTGCATGAAAGCCGCCCAACCGGACCCGAAAAAGTATGCTGAGATTCACGGCAAGGGAAAGGGAGGTGGAAAGAAAGAGGAAAAGAAGGAAGCCAAGTCGCCACAGGGCAAGAAGGGGGGAGGCAAAGAACAGGAAGAGTCAGCAGGTGATGTTCCTCAGGAGAAGGCTGTGGATCCCTTGGCTGCACTTCCTAAAGGAACCTTCGATATGGATGCCTTTAAACGAGCTTACTCCAACGAAGACACTGAATCGGTAGCGATCCCTCTGTTCTGGAAAACTTTCGATAAAGAGCACTACTCGATATACACATGCGAGTACACCGATAAGGAATCACTCAAAGGCAAGAAGCCGTACATGTCCAAGAATCTGGTAAAAGGTATGTTGCAACGAGTTGAAAAATTGAGAAAGCATGCTTTGGGAATCATGTACGTTTTGGGAGATGACAAAGAACACACCGTCGAAGGCTTGTGGATCTTCAAAGGTCATGAAATTGCGTTTGGTCTTTGCGACGATTGGAACGTCGATGCGCCTTCGTACACGTTCAAGAAGATGGACGTGGACAACCCTGCTGACAAAGAGAAGATCGATTCGCTCATCTTAGCGGAGACTGTGGGATCTGCTACGTTCCCTCACGAGGATCTCCTGCAGGCCTACGAGTGCCTCAAGTGAGAAGACGACTCGACTCAGAACAGTGACTGATCATTAAAGTGACTGATTCTGATGTGATTGTCATGTTGACATTTGAGCATTTTGTTTGAAACAAATTTCGATGTCGACTTGATTTTGAATTTAAAATATTTAAAAACGCAGTTGTCCAACAGGCAAACTCCTGAACAGCATGCTTCTTTCATGCTCAAGTTTCAAAGAACCGTCAAAAAGTTCGATGTAGAAAGCAAAGCTTTTTTATCCATCCAAATTTAAAAAATTTGAAATTATTTTTATCGGGAAAGGCTTACAAGAAATGAGAAATAGGAATCTACGGTGTTTTCAAAACACGTTTTTAAAATCCTCTTTCTCATTTTTTTGCAGGCGCTCACAAAATTCGACGACTTCTGATGATACATTCACGCATGTTCTCCCGGTTTCTTGTTCACGAATGTGCTCCCATTGCATCGAGTTTTTACTGCATTTTGTAATGAACAAACTTCTACAGTACTGATTTGAAATAGCCGGATCAAATTAATTTAAACAAACTTTTCAAACTAGTTACTCTGAAGTTCGGTCAACTTAAGGCCTAAAAGAATGGGTACATAAATTGTCAGCTTTTAATAGTGCAATTTAAGAAAGTTACACCTTTTAACGGGTCAATTCTGTTTCAAAATCAGGGAGGAAACAAGGTCAAACGCAATTAATCTTTCGAATTGACCGTTTCCCTCCTACTTTGATCCGAATGAACTGACCCACTCTACGGGTGCTATTTTGGTTGAAGTTTCGTAAATGTCGCTCTATAAAATTGCTGGCAAAATTTTGAACAGTTTTTGACATCCGTTTTTGTCCGAGGTTATGAGGAGTTGAGAGAACCGCGTTTGAAAATTTTGATTTAGTCCATTTGTTCTGGATATTTTAAACCATTACTATAAAAACTTGTTCACAGCACCGAATTCAAAGAATATTCGATAAACGGGAATAAATGCCTGAAGAAAAAACAGTCAACTTGAATTATACCAGCATTTGGTGAATTTATACAGCCTTTTGCAAAAAAAAATGGCTTCAATAGCCCAAAAATTTGAGATTGGATTCACAAATAACGTATTTTGAAAGCACCCTATTAAAATTTCGAATTAGTATTTGCGAAACAGGCCAGAAATTGGTGCATATACAAAACAGTCCCATGTAAAACAGTCCGAAACATCAAAAAAGGTTCTAAAAAACAGTCCCATACAAAACAGTCCAAAACCAGTTGAATTTCTTGACCTTGATCTTTTGGCGCCGACAGAATTGATCTACGCTTTGAACACTCAAACAAGGGCAATTAAAGATCAAAGAGCCAAAGTTGGAACAATAATTCGGATGAAAATCAAAGGACTCATGGTATAGTGGTTAAAGCGTTAGTCGCAAACTCTATAGATCAAAGGATCGAATCTCCGGCGGCACAAAAAATTTTCCAATTTTCCGAAAAAAGTTGAAATTCGGGTAAATATGATAACGGGTACAACAAAGGGTTCAACCTTAGAGGGTTGGGCGGAGGGAGAAGAAAAATCAACACCTTGTATGTATTCATTATTTTGCCGGTTTCAAATCGACTCTAGCTCAATTTTGAAAAATCAAGAAAATTAAATAACTTGGAACAATTTCATTGCTTGGCAATGTGGAATAAATGTAAAAATTGAAAAGAATAGAAAACTCTGATTATAATTTAATATTATAACTACATCCTTTCAAAAACCCAATGATATCGTAGGGTTGATATGACGTAATCATAGTGATCAAGTTTTTGTCGAGTTTTTGGTATTTAGCTTTTTTGGGTCTGGCTACTTTTTGTCCTGCGCACATTTTTTCCAACAGTATATCTTGGGGACTAGAATCGTGAAGAAGGAACTGCTGTCCATCCTGGGTTTTCTGTAGAGCCAGTGGTAGTTCAAAGCCAGTCAGCGATGTTGGCTCTGCCATCTTTGGTCTTTTTTCGCGTCGAACTCTATTTACAGCTTGCTGATTAGCAGAATAACTCGGTAAATGAACAGCTGTTTCTCGGTTCACATCACGTTGGGCTGCGAAAATAGTCTTCCGCGGTGTTACATCGGATACTGCTGCTCGATCTTTAAGTGTTTTTCTGAACTTACGTTTTTCGATGTCAGCTGGATTGGGAAAGTGGCAGTGATCTTTAACGATCTCAACGGAGTCCTCCTTTGTACGCACACGGCCATTGCAACTACTTAGTGCGCAGCGCCAGGAAAGAGAGTTGTCTGCCAGTGTTCTGTGCTTAATATAAGCATACCCTTTAAAAATCAGTAACTCAGAATTTTTGTTTGTAAGTATGATTTCCATCGATAGATAGTGAATTTCGTTTCTATTGAGTGTTGTCAAGTGTTTGCAAATGAAGCAGATTGAACACACTGTCTCTTTTTGTTTGGATTAAGAAAAGAGTCCATTTTCTTAAATTGCGTTATCTTTAATGTTTCGAATATTAATGCTTTTATTGAGATGCCGCTGCTGTTATCTAGGTTGTTCTAATTTCTCTACTATACTACTCATTGTTATCCGGATTAATTGGAATCAAAATATGTTTAATATGAGATAAATTTACTTATCAGCTTCTAGAACAATTATCACTTCGATCAATGGGACTGTTTTTTGGACTATTTTTCGGACTGTTTTGTATTGGACTGTTTTGTATGGGACTGTTTTGTACAGACACGCAGAAATTATATTTCAAAATGCGCCCTATTAAAAGCAGAATCAAAAAGTTGAAGTAACTGGTTTTTAGTAGTTTGATTTGGACTTCTTTCGAAGTTGAGTTTTTTTTTTATAGGAAGGGAAACTCCGTTATATAACAACAAAAGTATTAGGATTATAGAATTAAGTTTTCAAAATTTTTCTAGCTCTTCTCACAGATTTATTCCCGAAGCGATGGTTGTGCTCACCACTAGCAAGTGTTATGTATTCGCAACATAGACTGATTCTTATGAAAACTCCAACAAAATCACCGAATCGTTTTCTCAAATCCGCACTCAGAAATTTGAACGAAGTAAGCGATAATGTCAGTCAGCTGCATTGGTTGGTTGATAATTTCCGCACATTCAGTCGTTCTCGCATGGTAATAGCCTTCGCATCATATTTCATCGTTGGATAAGCGAAACAAAATTCCTATGTGTGCATGTCTTTTGAAGAAATAATTAAATTACTTGTGAACATTTCAAAAAATTTTTTTGGCTCAACGGATGTCTGCTCAAACATTTTCGGCTTTCGTACAGCCTTGTTTTGATGCAAGTGTGATTTTCAATTGTTTTAATTTTGTTTCTGACGGTTTTTTGAATAAATTTTATGGTAGACTTAGCGTTTCTCGATTTTTTCAATTTTTTTTACGACATAATGGCTTTCGTTTTAATTTCTGACTGCTGGTTTTAATATTTTTATGCTGAATATTAACTCGTTTTGAAGGGGGAGAACTGTAATTGAAGCTTCAAAGACAAGATTAATTATTGTAAGAATTTAATTTAAGTCTCTAGTTTGTCCCAATTTGTTGTTATTTCAAAGTTTAATGGCTCTAATCACTGTAATTTGGCATAAAGAGCAAAAAAATAGAATAGTTTTTTCAACAAAGAAAAAGCAAAGGAAAACTTTCAAATATAGTGAAATTATCGGCCCGCGATCGTTCAAAACTTTTTAATGGAAAGGCTGACCATAAATGTTAAACAAGACTGCTCGTACCAGGGCGAAGCCCTGAATGTTCCGACCGCCTCTTAATGTTTATGGAGCAGTAATAACATTTAAGAAATCAAATGAAAAAAAAAATAATGAAAATTTTTTTTCTAAAATTTGAATTTTTTTAAAATAAAAATCATCCCCCCACACGCCAGATAAAGTACAAAAGGATAGATTTCGCTCCTTGTAACAAACCAATTATGGCAAATAGGCTTCTTTTAACCAATTTGGAACGATTTCTAAGATGGATTAACTCTCCGCTTACGCGTTAATAACGCGAATAATATCGCGCGTTAATTGTCCCAAATTGGCCAAAATGGCAACCTTTAAACCCCCGTAACTTTACGAAAAATGATCACAGGTGAAATATCTTTTCAAATTTGAGCTCAGGACAACAATACCTTTCGAATGATATGAAAAAATTCTATCAAAAATGGCTAGTTAAAAAGTCGAAATTTGTCTGAAGAAAAGAAAAAACCCACCCCGAGCACAAATATTCCGTTACTTTCGTATCGAAAGTCGGAACAAATACAAGACTTGCTGGCAGTTTTAAGCAGGCTTTTGAGACGATATCTGCTTAAACTACTCTCAAAGTGACTCTAGCTTGACAATCCTCAGCAATCTGTTTTACGAATTCAAAGGTAAGTTGCAACAAATCGTGAATATTGAGTAAAATTTTAATGTATATTTCCATGTGAAAAAAAGTTTCGGTTATGAAATTGCCGGCATGGTAATTGAAATTCCATACATTAGTTTAATAATTGAATTATTACCTTGCCAAGCTCTTAAAAATACGTGGAGTGTAATACAACCAGGTACTAGATTTTTGCCCTCCTAAATAATTTTGTTCGCAGAATGACCAAAACATTAAATAGTAAGTTTACTCATCTCTTGTACTACTTAAATTGCGCTCGTGCGAATGGCTGTGCGGGCGGTACATGAAAAAATTCTACAATGTGAATTTTTCTTAGCGCTGCCAAAATTATGTTATTTCAAGCTCTCTTTGTTAGTTTCTTCCTTTTTGGTCGTCGGTTTATTTACCTCTAATACTTTTTTGATTAAATTCCAGTCGTTTCAGATGATATTGATTCAACTGTGACTATATATTTCGAAAGGTTCAATTTAATTTTCAATTCTTGTTTCAAAAACTAGAAAAAACACGATTTTAAAAAAATTCCCTTCATTTTTTGTTTGTCTTTTTAAACTTCACAATGTTAGTTCGGTTTGAAATTGTTTTGATTTATCTTGGTTGGTATGCTTTGTTTTTACACTTGCAAAAGCAAGTGTTTTGTAATCGGGAACTAGATTTTTTTCCCTGTAAACAGCTTTTATTACAATTTTTCACTTTTCAAAGTTTTTCTCAAAAATAATTCTACAGATTTTCAAAACAAGGGGTATCCGATAGAAAGATCGCCTTCGCCCATGGGTGCCTGCATAGTCCCC